GTGGGGAGCAGAACCGACAGATCAAAGGAGTACACTGCTGAGGGGAGCAGCGGGCGGGTCAGGAGAAATCTGCCACGCCATGTGGTCACCTCAGGGGCAGGCGGGGATCGAACTCATGCGGAAGCGGCTTTAGCTTCTCAGTGAAGTGCTTTAACCCGCTGAGCCACCAGGAGAGGTCTGCCACGCCATGTGGTCACCTCCGGGGCAGGCGGGGATCGAACTCATGCGGAAGTGGCTTTAGCTACTCAGTGCAGTGCTTTAACCCGCTGCGCCACCAGGGAGGGCCAAGTTCATAAACTTCAAAGCTAACATTATTTTCAGTGATGGTTCGCTACAAATAAAATTCTTTTAGACCTAAAATGCTACTCCATGACCTTCATTTTTACCAAGATATCTTAGAGGGTAAAATGAAGTCGAGGGTTAGGGTGGAGACGGGAAGGATAGAGAAAGGTCTTGGGCTGGGGCTGAGTGATTCTCTGGTAAGTCAATCCCAAAGAGGATGGCAAAATTCCCCTAAAGCTGAATAGAGTATTTAGATGAAGTGCCTTTCTTGAAAACTAAACAATAGAAAACTTAGAAACTGAATAGAAGGATTGTGATAGTAGAGAGATGGGATTTGGATTCTCCTCCAGGCAGTAAAAGAATTCTGATTATTCTAATACTGCCTTGTCTCACAGTATTAATTTTGTTAGAATTGTTTTTGTGAATCAGCCAGTTGTAGTATTTTTGATTCCAAGAGGACTGTCCCATCCTGCGGCAGCACTCGCTCACCTGAGCCAGGCAGCACCTTATGAGGCTGAGGCAGTCCAGTGGAAAACTGGTGGTTGCTTGGAATATTTTTGATGTCGTCTTTTGAGTTCGGGGTCCTTGGGTTCACGCTGGGAAAGGTTTCACCAGAGCTGCCGTTTCAGCGGCACACGGCGAGAGTCCTCGAGACAGACACTCAGTTATATGTAAAGAGGAAGTTTGTTAGAAAGAGACGGAAGAGGAAAAGACTTGCACAGGTGCAAGAGGGCAGGAAGAGCTGCCCCGGAAGGGACAGGTGTGCAGGGAGAGAGACCTGCATGGTTGCAGGCCGGCAGCCTAAGGAGAGAGCGGCCGCCCCTGAGGGAGGTCAGTGCAGAGAAGTCCCAGCATGGTCACGGGCAGGCAGGCCGCCGCTGCCCGCAGAGGGAGAGAGCGGGTGGAAAGAAGCCCCTGCGTGGGCACAGGGGGGCAGAGTTGAACAGCTGCCCGGTGTTACTGGAGCGACGGCCCTGAGGTAGGCAGTTTCTCCTCGGGCGGGCTCACTCCTGTGAGCCTGGGTAGCACTGGAGAGGACTGGAGACTTCCTGCTGAGCTTCGTCTGCGTGTCCTTATCTTTTGCCTTTTGGGTCTGAGCTTCAGGCACAGCCCCCAACAGTCTGTTATCTGCCGGGACCCCTTGGAGATGTTCGGGCATACTGGACATCGGGCTTTGGGGCCTGGGAACCTTGATGTATGGCCGTGCCAGTCGCTGACTCTTCTACCCGTCCCCTCTGTGTGACTCAGTCTGGTGATGCCGCCCTGCATTCCTGCCGCCATCACTGGCGCTTTGCTACTTGTGGTGGATTATTTCAGAGAATAGTAGATGATGTTGGCCAAATTACATTCTTGGCAAATCTGCAGTAATCAGCATCAATGTCATCGTAGATACGCGTGTTCTCAGAACTTGAATGGTATCAAGAGAAAAGATGGGCTTCTCTTCTGTTTTATAGGAGATGACTGACCTGAATCTATTAAAGATGATAGACCCTTCATCAAATTCATATCCTATTAATTCATCCTCCCACTGCTTAGATAAATCAATATTGATGTGTGAGGTAAAGTATGATCTGGGAATGTGTGTTTGTGTGGGGAGTTGTGTGTGTACTTGAGCGTGTAAATATAAGGGATGAGAGATACATGTTTTAGTTCAAAATCTCTTGATTTATGAAATAATAAGTGGTTTATCACTAATATTTTAATGTTTAGAATAAAATATGTCCCATTTTATTTTCCTTTGTAACTAAAATTTTAAAAGCTTATTTTTGGTTCTAACTTGATATTTATAATTAAAGTACATGTCTCCGAACCAAAAAAAAATAAGTAAATAAAATAAGATATTTAAAATAAAGTTTAAGGAACAGCAGTGCAGAATATAACTTGACAACGTTTGCATAAACATTTTAATACTTCCATGTTCATTTCAGAATTCAAGCTTGTAAATCTTGGCACAGCGCTAACCGACAGGCAAGTAAAGGCATGCAGATGAACTGACTTTAGCTACAGCCGAAGAACTAGTTAGCAGCGCAATGCTTTACAATCACAGTGTGCTTCTCAGTCAGTCTCACAGTGAAAAGAATTAGAACCGACGACAGACCGACAAAGACTCAAAAACTCAGAACTGCAGAAAAATGAAAAGAATTTAATACACTCGCGAGCGGGCAATGAAAAGAGTTAGAACCGACGACAGACCGACAAAGACTCAAAAACTCAGAACTGCAGAAAAATGAAAAGAATTTAATACACTCGCGAGCGGGCTCGAGGCGAGGGGAAGGCCAAGAGCCCCGAGCTATTACAGTGAGCAGTTTTTCAACAGTATTTTAGGGAAGGGAGGGGGTACAGTTCATGGACCGAGGAAGTTACCATGGTTTTTAGGACGGCGACCGGATGTCGCTGTTTTTCCGAGAGGTAGTTATCTTTTGGTCAAAAAGGAATTCTTCCCTGCTGAACAAGTCGGGCCTGGTCACAGAAAAACCTCCTTATCTTTCTCGTTTTTACAACAGGAAACGTGTGCGTGTATGACTGTGTGCTCACGCCACCTCTTCCGCTGGCACTCCAGCTCTGACGTATCCACGTACTAGTTTTGGTTCTGTTATTCTACATTTTGACAGGACTTTGCCGGGTGGCCCTCCTGGGCCCATGCTGATACCTGGGGAGGTGTCTGCACCGGAGTCCAGGGGTCATTTTGTAACATGGGATAAGACTGAAAAAGAGGTGGGGGAGGAGGCTGAAACAGGAATTTTCCAGGCAGGTCAGTGTCCGAACAGAGACATAAGGCAGCTGAGACTTATGCCCTGTCGGGGACTTGCCCGATCTCGGGCTGTTGAATGGCAGACACAGGCAGAATCCTACGGTGGGAATGATGTCGGTGAGCAGGTATTCCAAAAATTGGGGGGAACGGGCCTGAGCAAGACACAGGAGTCAGTGAGTCTTCCTGCTCTGCCTTCAGCAGAGGTTTATTTTACACGTTTCAAGCAGGCAGAGGATGACATCAGCATATGAAAGGGGCTGAGATCACCATCACCTTTTTATTAAGAACAGTCTGGGGTCGTTTTGACCTTTAGTTGAGATTGTAACATTTTAAAAATCAATCAAGGTTAAAACAGGTACAAAGATTCACAAAGTTTAAGACTAATGTGACTATATTTACCACAGTGAAGATGAGCCACAGTGAAGATGAGCCGTTATTCTCATGGAGACATCCTAGGGGGTAAAGTAAAGTGAGGGCGGGAAGAGGAAATTTCTTATAAATCAAATTACAGTACTGTTCTTTGAAAAACTTGTTAGAAAGTTTATGTGAATTTCTTTGAAGTCTACGCAGTAGAAAACCGGATTAGCCCTGAATAGGCGACTTGGGTGAATTTCCATATCTAAAGACTAGAGAGTAGGAAGCTTGAGTGGTTATTTAGAAACTGAATAGAAGGTTGAGTGGGATGGTAGAGTGAGGAGATTTGGGTTTTCCTCCATCCCGCAGTAAAAGAGACTTTGCAGTAACAGCCATTTGCTTTTATTAATCCGCCAGTTGTCAAAATCAGTTTTGACTTCAGGAGGAATTTCTCACCCTGGCGCAATGCTTGCTTGTCTGAGCCAGGTAGCACCTTAGGACGCTGAGGCAATCCAGTTGTAAACAGATGGTTGCTCAGAATATTTTGATATTACGATTATACAAAAAAGGGAGATTGGAACATAAGTTAGCGTGGAACGTCTGATTTTTCAGAGCATTTCCCCTCCATCTGTACCGTGTCTGTCGACAGTTTGCACAGCTGTGTCAGTCCCCTAACACTCTTCAGCAGCCCGACTGCAGGTCCGGCATGTTCTTCTCTCCTGCACCCCCTGGTGCCACGTGCAGAGAGGGTTCACCAGGCGCTGCCCAAAGCTGGGGGTGGACACACTGGCGGTCACCGGACTGAGGTCCACGTCTCTCTTCTCCTCCTCACCCTCCACTCTGGCTTCCGGCAGCTCATGTGGATCTTGGCTGAATTCCTCAGGCTTCCTCTGTCAGCCTCAAAAATAGGAGCCTTGTATGCCCTGACAACCCTCATCATGATGGTGACTCTGCCCTCCTCTGGATCTCACAGGACTCCTCTCTACCCAACTCCACACGCAGTCACAGCAGAGTCCAAGCAGCGAGACCTTTTTGATTACATAGTTTGGGCCGTAGCAATGCTCACTGCCTTTTATTGAGGTGCTGAGGGTGGACACGATGTAAGTGGACCTTCTCTTCGGTCAAGCTGTGGTAATATTGTGAAGACTCAAATACACGTTTTTTAAAGATTTATTGATTGATGCATACAGAACTGGGGTACAAGCCAGAAGTTCGGAGGTGAGAGGATTCACCAGAGGTAGAGCCGGGAGCAGAACATGCAGCTGCACTGACATACACTGCGCCCTGTGGGTCAGCTGCCTGGGGGGATCAAACTCCAAGCTGCAGTGACCACGGATAACTTCATCGCGCTGCGCTTTAACCCGTTGCGCCACCAGGGGGCGCGCAAATACACATTAAAAAATTCTTTCCCTTCTATGTTGTTTCTATTTTCATTCAAGTACTTAGATTCTTCCGGTCACTGACTATTAATTCGACTGAGCCCCTCTACTTTCTTTCTTTCTTTCTTTTTATTTTCTACTTCGTTGTTCAGTTTGCAGAATATTTGCTCTCTCCCCTCAGGTGCATCCCCTAATCCTCCCATCACCACAGCACCCAGGACCTGCCCCCAGAGTCCCTCATGCTCTTCCCTCTCTGTGCTGACTCCCTCCCCCTCCACTGCTGTGCGCCTCAGGCCCGTGGTTTGCCTGCCTCAGACCTTGTCACTTCCCCTGACCTGTATTCACCTAATCATGAAACCACCTGATATTTACTTTTCCTTTTAACTTAATTCACTGAGGGTCGTCCCATCTATCATCCATGTTGCTATGAATAGCGTGAGTTTCTCTTCTATGGCTGTATAGTATTCCTTTGTGTACACAGACACATTTTGATCCATTTATGTGCGTTGGGGCATCAGGTTGTTTCCTTCCGCAGCCTGGCTCTTGTCAATAGAGCTTCAATAAAGAGCAGCACAGGTTTCCTTTCAAATTAGTTTTGTGTCCAAAGGGGTGGCATCACTGGGTCCTATGGCAGATGCATCAAATATTAGTTACTAGTGGACAGAAGAAAATGAATACGTTGTGGCCATTAACGAGGTCACGTGTTTAGGCCACTTGTCCTTGTGAGACTGGAGCCGTGGGCACCACCAGCTGTGCCCGCTCGCCCAGCGGTGCCGGAGGCTGATCACCTCCCGGCTTGTACTGAGTCATCTGTCTGAGCTCCACTCTTCTGTTTACAAAGGAGTGTTTCTTCTGTCCTAAGTCCCTAGGAAAACGTCTCATTTTATTTCTAGACCCTGTGGACACTGGTCACTGGGGTTTGAAACAGTGCTGGCCGGTGGGGCTGACACATGCACACAGTCATGCTCTTGGACTTGGCCCCTGCATTGCTCTGTGGGACCCCCCATGCATGTGCCGGGTCCCCCACCTAGTAAGGGAACCCCCTTCATGTAGACCAGGGGGTGCTTGACAGTGTTCGGAGACAGCTGTGGTTGTCACACCTGGACTGAGGTCAGGAGGCTACTGCCATCTTCTGGGGAGACCAGGGAAGCTGTTAAGACTCCCCTAGGGGGGCCCCCCAATAATGCAAAGACCTGCTCCCTCCCTGCAAACAACCCAAAGCTATTCTTCCAGGGCCTAGCAGGTGGTGCCAGCCTACCGCCCACAGCAGCAGCTGTGGGGATCCCCCTCCCCAGCGCCTGCTCAGCACAGGCCCAGTGGGCAGCAGAGCCCGGAGGCCCGGCTGGCTGGACACGCGGCTGGGGCTGCCCTCAGGCCCTGCGTGAGAAACCTGAGAGGTGGAGGACACGCCGGAAGCCCCCTCGGTGGGCTGGTGCCCACCATGCAGGTTTGACCATGGCCCCCACCTCCCCTCGGGCTCCG